TCTCCCATCCTGACATGTTTCCCAACCCCCTTAAATTCTGGGTTCTCATGAGACAAGTTTTAAAAGATGTTATTTCTGAGTCAATACAATTTCTGCAATAATCAACGAGGTGACACCAAGTTGAGTTTGAAGAAGTTACTGTTTTGCTTGATTCCTCTGTGTTCTTTTGGACACACGGGCTCCTGTGTGTGTCCTGGTAAGACCAGACCCCTGAGGTTCCACGTGGCTGTGTGTTTTACAGGAGCTCATTAGTCTGTGAACACTTTGGTTAGTGGCTCAGTGCTTACACATTTCCTCCACCCTGGGGATCCAGTCGCATCTACGTAGCAGTCCACGTTGATGAGGAGCTTAGGAGAATGTGAACCTGGACAATTGTTTCCGTAAATCAAATCATTTTGAATCAGGGAGGTGTGTGAGTGGTTCATGTCCCTTTAAGTTCAAGGTGATGGGCCAGCAGTGGTTGAAGCTCTCTGATTAGCCTAATGGTTAGGGTTTCAAGTCCACGTGTTAGGATTGTGTAAGAAAAGGGCGTGTCCATGAACATCGCAGGCTGCACAACCCTCGGGAACCCGCGTCTGCTCTGACAGAATCCACTCTGTGACGTTGGGTTTTATTTTGTTTGGGGCTTAGGGGTTCTTTGACTCGTTTCTAATGGATGCCAGTGTTCTTGGCTTTCCTAGGATCGTGTCTCAGAATATGTGGGCTTTTAAAAAATTATTAAATAATCATTTTATTAGGGGCTTATATAACTCATCACAATCTGTACATACGTCATTTGTGTCCAGCATATTAGTACATATGTTGACGTCATCATTCTTACAACACCCGCTTTCCACTTGAGCCCTTGGTGTCAGCTCATTTTTCCCCTCCCTTCCCGCTCCCCCCTCCCCCCTCCCCCTGATAATTTATAAATTATTATTTTATCACATCTTACCCTATCCAACGTCTCCCTCACCTACTTCTCCACTGTCCGTCCCCCAGGGAGGAGGCCGTATGTAGACCTTGTCATCTGTTCCCCCTTTCTCCCTTATCTTCCCTCCACCCTCCCGCTATCGCCACTCTCTCCACTGGTCCTCGGGGGTTCATCTGTCCTGGGTTCACTGTAGAATATGTGGGCTTTGACAATAACACTTTAATAAGGCTTATAGGTAGAAGCTACATAATCTCGCATCAACTTGCAAAGGGGTGGAGTCTAGCAAATGATGACCTCATTTGCAGGCACCACAGACATAAATAGCTCCCTGGAGGCCAGATACAGATAGACACTGTGCTTATATACCTGTTAACAAGACCCATGAAGACCCATCATGGAACCAGAGCCCTGGAGTTGGAGAAGACCCACGCCAGCGCTGAGATGCTTCCACCGCCACTGGATCCACAAAACTTTCCCCCCACTGGCCTGTAATCCTTCTGCATTCGGCTTCATTGCATGTGTTGCGTGAGTCTGAAGAGGACTTTATAGATTGGTATTGGACAGATGGACTGATATCAGACTTAGGGACGTGATCTGGGCTGGGCTGGGATCTTTTCTCAATATTCAATTGCTATTTTAGATAAAGCGCGTTCTTACACACATATGATGTCTAAGAATTTGTTTCTGATGTCAACCCAGACGAACACGGCGTCATCCATGGCTGGTCTAAGCTGTATGGTAAAGTGATAGCCTGGATGAGAAGGGAAAGCAGGTAAATCCTCTCTGATCATAATTCTGGGTTCTGGAAAACCGACTCTGGTGCGTGAAGCATCACAGTTTTGAGATATAAGCAATCTTTTTTTAAATATAAACAAATCTTAATGCACTTTCTCATGACTGAAGCCAGTCCTTCCAATAACCCCATAAAAGGACTGCCCTGAAGGACGTATCGCTCGTGCATCTGACCTCCATGCCTGAAGGTTATCTTTAGAAAACGGGCAATCACAGTCTATAGCACAGCAACCGTATGATGTAGCAAACCTTCTGAGGTCTCCTGCTGATGCCCATCATTGATTGCTCCTCTGCGGGGGGCGGGGGGGGGGGGGGGGGGGAGGGTGCTCTTGGGTGTCCAAGGTCAACTAGCACTTAGCTCAAGATGATGACTCACCTCATTGCTCATTTATTATGTTACCTGTGTATGATATTACCCCCTGAGTATGCTACCTGTATGCAGAATGACATGCGTGCCTTTTGAAAGATCTGTAAGCCCCGTTATATCCACCCACTGGGAAATACATTCACTCTCTTGGTTCAGAACTAGGGATAAGGAGCCCCCGGGTCCCCTTTGTCTGTCTTTTTTTTTTTCATTGTCACTAAAACTTGCTCCTAAGGACATGTTAGGCCATTGGAGGCCCGTCTGCCGACACTCAGTTGGTACCTTTTGTCATTCACAGGAGCGACATCTTTTAGTTAGGAAAGTTTTCTACTTGATTATATGAGGCGCTTTTCTGGGAACCTGTTCTGAAGGACACCATTCAATAACTAAAGGAGAAATACTGTGGCCCCATGTGGCAGAGAGGGTAGGTTCTCGAGAGAAACAAAATAACTGAAGCTTGTGTGTCTGCTTGTGTGCGTGTGTGCACGATACACTCAGGGAGGAGATGGCTTTGCAGTTGTAGAGTCTAAGCCAGTTCCCTGTCTTTAGGTGTAAACCTGGAGGTTTGCTCAGACATATGCTTGAAACCACAATCATCCAATCAGGTGTCATGCTGCTCGGTTTCCATGTGCACGAAGCCACAATCAACCAATCAGGTGTCATGCTGCTTGGTTTCCATGTAAACGAACCCAGGGTTGTCAGGTGCGATTGCAGACCTGCTGAGGGATGCTCTGAAGAAGCTAACGGCTCTCCAAACCAGGAGGCCCCTGACTCAAGTCCCTACAAGTGAGATCAGGTGATGATGATTGGGTTAATCTGGACTGACTACAGAAACAAATTCATACACACTCGTGTGTAAGAGAGAACTTGATATCAAAGATCAATGGTACATTAAGAAAACATTCCAGGCAAGTCCATAAGTCCAATATTAGCCCATATGTTGATACTAGTCCATAAATTCCTTTTTAGGCTCATGCAGCCATGCAATGATGCCGAATGCAGGTAGATCACAGGCCAGTGGGTGGAAAGTCTTGTGGATCCAGTGGTGGTAAGAAGTATCTCAGCTCTGGTGTGGGTCTCCACGTGGCTGCTCCAGGGCTCTGGCTGCATCAGCCTGTCTCCGTGTGGCTTGTCCACAGGAATATCTTGCAAGGAGTGAATCTGTGACCTGCTTCCAACGAGCTATTTATCACCTTAGCGCCTCCCAATGAGGTCATCAGGCTGCGACCTGATTGACAGGCTAGACTCCACCCCTTCCCTCTTCAGTCTCAAATTGATGACAGATGATGTAAACACCATAATGATCCCGATGTGAGACCCAGGTTCTGAAAAATGCAGGAGAAATTTACTAGAACATCTGGTTATGTTAGATGTTGGTCATAAACCTGAGGAGACCACCATTCAATTGTTTGTCCTGTATAGCAGATCTCATCTGCTATCTTTTTTAACCCATCCTATAATTTTTCTAGCTTTTGTTACATTCTGCAACCTTCTGCATTAATGCGTTTTACTGTTTAGTTGCTGTTTTGTTCCATTAAAAAAAATAGTTATTTTCTTTCTATGTAAGTCAGGAGAGAGATCTGTATGTTCAGCAACTACATTATGACTTTCTTAGGGTTATGACCGGGGAGCTGGGAGAAAACGGTGAGCTACTAATAGATACAAGAATGAATGTTCTAAAAGTGATTGGCATGATGGACATACCAACTCTCTTGAATATAAACACTGAATTTCAGGATATATGAATTATGAGTGAAACTATAAAACAAAAACTCACCTGTGAAGTCCAAAACAAAATCAGTCTCCAGACCCTTAGCTGACCACTCTTCCTTGGATGTGGCTGGCCCAGCAGATCCCAACAAAAAGTTTAGCTGAACCTACTTCTGAAGACACCCTAAGGAGTCTGGGACAGCTATTACTGATAACTAGTCTGCACCTTGCAGAGGTCACAGACATATCTAAACAGGTGTGTGCTTTCTTTGAAGACATCAGTGCCATATGAACTGGACCACTCACTAGTAGCAATACTATTGGGTGTAGCCTATCAAACCATTAGCCGTTAAGAAGCTGGGCCAATCCCTGCGTGCTATGCTTGAAGAGTCACCTGACACGAAAGTGAAAAACAGGGAAGTAAAATGCAAACAATTGCTAATTTGCATAGAAAAAGCTGAAGGTTTGTTGTTGTTTTTTGGTAGAATTCTGCAGGTTACACGAGAAAGCCTTGACAAGGATTCCTCTGGAGAGGAGGCTGAGGTCATGAGGGGAACAAAAAGACTTTTTACCTGCATTATCCGAACAAGCATTTTTTAAAATCACTGTTACCTATTTCCCTTTGTAAACATATAATAAAATACGTGGGATTTTCTTACAGTACAGTACACAATTGAGGATATGTACTATTTTGTTAAACGTGCCCAACAGACAGATGACTGAGTCTCAATATGATAAAGATGTTTCAGTGTATCTGGAATGGTCACTAGATGGTTATGAAGTTCCAAAAAGTACACTGTACACCACAGGTACCCACAATTACTTGGCCGCCGCCCTGTTTTGGAAAAAACACACCAACTGACCCCTTTAACTAGCGGCCTGAGGTGACCTGCCAAAATGGATCGCTACTCACTCGAGCCAGAAAACCCTACAAAATCCAGTAAATCAAGAGGGTTGGACCTCCGGGTCCACTTCAAGAACACTCGTGAAACTGCCCAGGCCATCAAAGGCATGCACATCCGGAAAGCCATCAAATACTTGAAAGACGTCGCTCTGCAGAAGCAGTGTGTGCCTTTCCGACGCTACAATGGTGGTGTTGGTACTGTTTCCCCGAAAATAAGAGTGTCTTATATTAATTTTTGCTCCCAAAGATGCGCTAGGTCTTATTTTCAGGGGATGTCTTATTTTACCATGAAGAATACAGTACACATTTATTGTTTTATTAAAAGAGACCTCGCACGTCCTGTCTGCTCCTGCTGCGCTGTGGCCAACAGTGAGCTGTGTTGCGGCGCCTGCTGCTACGGTCCAGAGTCCAGAGTTACGGTAGCTTTGGGGGGGCCTTATTTTCGGGGGGTGGCTTATATTTCAGCGAGAGGCAAAACTGTAAGCAGGTCTTATTCTCAGGGGATGTCTTACTTTCAGGGAAATGGTAATTTGCCCAGGCCAAACAGTGGGGTTGGACCCAGGGTTGGTGGCCCAAAAAGTGTGCTGAATTTTTGCTTCACATGCTTAAAAATGCAGAAAGTAATGCTGAACTGAAGGGTTAGATGTGGATTCTCTGGTTATTGAGCACATCCAGGTGAACAAATCTCCCAAGATAAGCCGCCAGACTTACAGAGCTCATGGTTGGATCAATCCATACGTGAGTCCCCCTGCCACACTGACATGATCATGACTGAGAAGGAACAAATCGTTCCCAAACCAGAAGAGGAGGTTGCACAGAAGAAAAAGATTTCCCAGAAGAAACTGAAGAAGCAAAAACTCATGGCTTGGGAATAAATTAAGCTTAAAATAATAATAACAGTTAAAGCAGTAAAAAAACAAATCCGATCACTCCTTCATAATTAAAAACTTTAAAACTGTAGCCCATAATCTGAGATAAAGTGTCGGTATCTGCTCTTACAGCTCCTTGGAAGGGGTGGTACGACCCACTTTGTGAGTCTGGGTGGACTAGAGAAACAAATTCAGACACTCATATGTGTGTAAAAAAAGAGCTTTATATACAAGAGCAGTTGAATATTGAGAAAACATCCCAGCCCAGTCCAGATCAAGTCCATAAATCCGATATTAGTCTGATACCAGTCTATAAATTCCACTTCAGACTCACGCAACACATGCAATAACGCCAAATGCAGAAAGATCACAGGCTAGTGGGTGGAAAGTCTTGTGGATTTAGTGGTGGTAGAAGCATCTCAGCGCTGGCATGGGTCTCCACGTGGCTCCTCCAGCTCCATCAGTGTAGCTCCATGTGGCTTGTCAACAGGAAAATGAAGCCGAGTGTGTCTGGCCTCCAGTGAGCTATTTATCTCCTTAGCGGCCCCCAAATGAGGTCATCAAGCTGCGACCTGATTCACAGGCTAAACTCCACCCCTTCACTCTTAAGAGTCTCAAGTGGACACTAGATTATGTAACACCAGAGTATGTAATATCTGATAACTGATATTAGAATGTAAGATGTACCTAAAGGTATGATTTACATACCCATTTGATCTAAAGACAGATTTAAGAAAGGAACACCTTCGTAACCCAAGGACCAGGTGAGACAAGCGCAGTGCAATTCCTGTCCCCTGAATGGAGCAAGCCAAGGGCCTAGAGACTCCAGGCTAACGTGCAGAACAGCCTGTCTGCAGGAGCTTAACTGGGGCAGCTAGGTTTGCTAACCCACGTAGCTCGAGTTGAGTGTCTTCAAGCTGAGACTTCTCACACAGTGGAGTGCTCTTTGGGCATTTAAAGCAGCTCTGCAATGTTGCTTGGTGCCAGGCTGAGTCTGTGCGTGAAGAAGGCAAGGCAGTGGGCAGGGTTAGAAGACGTAGTGGTCTACTCAACCCCAAGGGGTGTTATGAAATCAAAGAATTGACCTAGAACTACTCCCAAAGGTATTATTTTATTTGTATCTGGGGGTTCAGAGACAGGGATGTAGCACTGCTTCTTTCTGCACGTGGCCAGCTGAACAGGAAAGTTTCTCATGAAGGGGATCCTTTTGGTTTCTCATATATTGGTAGTGAGCTGGGCTACCAAGACCATCAACACTGTGATACTAGCACACCCAAAACTCCCCAAACCCAGATACGGCGGAAGGAGCATTCCCAATGCCTCAGCCTAGGCTGGAACACCCTAGCTATCTGTGAAAGCAGGGTGTCTCATCTACATGAGCAAAAGAACACCTGGGGAATGTTTGCTTAGCTGCAGCCTAGGCATTTAAGGAGTGTTTATTTCGGGTTCCCACAGAGACAGTTCTGACCAAATAGCTGATTTCTGAGCATTGCTGATGCTTCACTGTAACATGTTAACTTCTGTCACGAACCCTGTAATCTTGTTTTGCCTGTGAGTTGTTTGTAGACATGCCATGAATTTTAAAACCCAGCTGGGAGTGGTGTGGAAATGGCAGTTTGTATCAAAATCGGTAAAAGACAGTTGCTAGGAGAGGCAGGTACAAGGTCTACATCACAGAAATCAGACGTGGTCGATCATAAGTTTAATTCTCCTTTCAAACTGAGAGGTCAGAAACCACCCCCACATTTTTACAAGTAGGAAAATGATAGAGGGAAATACATTAACATTGAAATAAAACAATAACGGTTTTCCACCAAATGCAAGGTGGCTGTATTTCATTTTATGAAAAATAACGTCAACAAAAATCTCCAAAAATATGAAGCCAAGTTTATTCAAGACTACTACCTGGAAACTTATTTGTTACAAACAAAATCTAAGAAAGCCACGCGCAAACACAGATGTGGACACGAGACTGTCATTTGGTCAAAGCACAAACATTAAACCCCGTTCCCTTTAGACGGCATTGCTATTATAGACAGTAGTAGCCCGCACCTCAACGAGAATCCGTTCCAGAAGGAGTGTTAACACACGATGCGGTCAAGTTTCGAATCAATTTTTCCCAGAAGAAATAACTGAAAACGGATTCATCTGTTCTTGACTCTGCCTTTTTATACCCCAATCTCGTCTATTTTTATACAAAATATGACACATACATTTGAAAGTAAAGAAGTTCAGAGTTAAATAATAGAACTTACATAAGAAACACATTAAGAAAGTTTTTAACAACTACAAGATGACCCATGATTGATGGGGATCTGGATCTCTGGACATGAGTATGGGAGAGTCATTGTTTGGATGGGGAATCCCCTTCCATAAAATCAACTGTTAGCTGCTTTTCAGGAGTTTTTCCCCCCTTCTTTGCCTTTTTTCACTAGCACGTGGCTGGCCTTCTCTAAAATAGAAAAATCTGTCTGCTGTGGTCTGCTGTTGGCGTTTCCTTAGCTGTTTTCTAAAAGGGTTTACTAAATTATCCTCAACAATATCGATGACACGGTTAACCAGTTCCTTATCATGGTGATTCTTTTCCAAAAATTCCTGGACTCTCTCCCAATGAAGCAGCATTTCTTTGATTTCTGAAGAGGCTGACTCTCTCTTGATCTCCTTCTCTCCAGACGGCTCCTCAGCCAACACCTGCTGCTGCTGCTCTTGAAGCTCCTGAAGTTCCTCCGTTGTGAGTTCAGGGCTATGCTCTTCAATCAGCTCCTCAATATCATCAGCACTGACCTCCAAACCCATGGACTTGGCCACAGAAACAATGTCCTCCACATCTGGGTCAGGCAGAGAAAGGGGCTCAGCTTCAGAGTCAGCTTCCAGCTGACTAGGGGCACCGAGACCGTCAAAGTCCCTAAGAAGAACCCCATCAGGCCAAAGATTTCTCCACGCTGTTCTCAGAGTCCCCTTAGAGACGCCTCCCCAGGCTTTGTTTATGAGTCTAACACAGCTCAAAATATGGAAATGCTCCTTCCAGAAACCAGCCAAGGTTAGGCCAGTTTTCCTGGTCACTTCAAAACACCTCTGGAACAATGCCTTCGTGTACAATTTCTTGAAATTAGAAATAACCTGCTGGCCCATGGGCTGTATGAGGGAGGTGGTTCTGGGTGGCAAAATTTTTATTTTCAGCCAGCTAAATTCCTCTGCTAACCCACATTCCATGTCTGGGGGATGGGCAGGGGCACTGTCTAAAACGAGAACTGCCCTGAGTGGCCAATCGTGTTCCTCAAGGTATTTTTTGACACTGGGGGCAAAAACTTCACAAACCCACTCCCTGAAAATCCTCCTGGTGACCCACGCCCTGGCATTCGACTTCCACATCACATTTAACTCGCTCTTCACAACGTCATGCTTCTTAAAAACCCGAGGATTTTCGGAGTGGTAGACCAACAGAGGCTTTATTTTCAAATCGCCACTTGCATTTGCACACAGCAACAAAGTGAGCCTGTCTTTCAACGGTTTGTGGCCTGGCGATTTCTTTTCCTCTGTGGTAATATAGGTCCTCTTTGGCATTCTCTTCCAAAAGAGCCCGGTCTCATCGCAATTAAAGATTTGATTTGGCATAAAGCCATTTTTGTCCACGAACTGCTGGAAATCCTTCACGTAGTTTTCTGCAGCTTTACCGTCAGCATTTCCTGCCGCCCTCCGTGGTGCAACAACAGGAATGCCACTTCTTCTCTTAAACCTATCAAACCAGCCCCTACTGGCCAAAAACCCATGCTCGGGACCAGTACTTGAGCCGGGTTTGTTTTTCAGAAGATCAGCATGCAAGGACCGAGCCTTAGCACAAATGGCAGCCTTGGGAATACTATCCCCAGCAAGTTGTTTCTCATTTATCCAAACCAACAGCAGTTTTTCCACTTCATCGATTAAGGGAGGCCTCTGTTTTGTCAAACTCGTAACCCCCTTGGCAACACTAGCACTTTTTATTGCCTCTTTGTGCTTTAAGAACGTACTGATGGTGGATCTTGGCAAGTTAAACCGGGACGCTAAATCAGTCACACGGATGCCTCTTTCGTACTTTTCAATAATCTCTTTCTTCAGTTCAATTGTGGTCCTTACCGTTTTCCTTTTCTGCGTGTCTGCAATGGCTTTCTTAGGACCCATGTTTTTTATCTAAAAACAGTACAAAAAGTCACAAAAACTGAGAAGATGATAGCAAAACGCTTGGAACACAGCCGCAAAAGGTTTAAACAACACGCACTAATGACGCCAACTAATGCCCCATGACGGAAACATGAACCGCTTTTATTTACAAAAATCACATGCGTCGGGTCGGATTCCTGTTTTGTTCGAGCGCCGAGGCAAAATTTCCTCGACATTTTGCATCAAGTACTGATGTGGTTGAGCACCGGGGTTCTATTGTAAAAATCTCCGAAAGTATGAAAACACATTTGTTCAAGACTGTTCCCTCTGACCTTCTTTGTTCCAACCAAAATCTGAGAAAGCAACGAACACACACTGATGTGGACAACCCATGGTCACAACGAGACGGTCATTTGGCCAAAAGGCAAAAATTAAATGTCTTTTCCTTTAGAAGATATATCATACTCTCAGAAAAACTATTTTTCCTCAGAAATGTTCATAATTTGAATTTTGATAGTCCATCACACACACCAAGAAGAGGGCAAGCCCACTGACTTTTAGCAGGTTCCAACTCCAAGGGCCCTTGTAGGACAGAGCGGAAATGCTAGAGTTTCTGAGTCTGTACATTTTGACGAGGGAAGTTTCAATGAGCAGCCAATTGTGTGGTTAACAGCCTAACAGCTTAAAAAAAATGGGGAACCCATTTCCTCAAAATTATCACAGTAATGTTTTAAAATCTCACTTTAGACTTAATCTCCCCATTGTGAATCATTAATACGTACAATGAAGCTTAGGAAATTCCTCAAGTCTTTTTCGTGGTCTTTAGATTCATAAGGCAGCATCTACAGCACGAGATCTTAAATGTACAGAGAGATCTGAGGCAGGCCCAAAGGCTTTCCTACTTTTCCGTGTGTAATACCTCCCTTCGTTGTGAATTCTTTTATGTGTGCTGAGGGTTGTGGACTGACTAAAGGCTTTCCCACATTCCTTACATTCATAAGGCTTCTCCCCGCTGTGAATTCTTTTGTGTGCGGTGAGGTTTGAGGACCGACTAAAGGCTTTTCCGCACAACTTACATTGGTAGGGCCTCTCTCCGGTGTGAGTTCTTCCATGCTTTTTGAGGGCGGAAGAATCACCAAAGGCTTTCCCGCAATCCTGACAGGCATAAGGCTTCTCGCCAGTGTGTGCTCTTACGTGTGAAGTAAAGTACGAGGAGCTAAATGTTTTCCCACACTCCTTACACTCAAAAGGCCTCTCTCCACTGTGAATTCTTTTATGAGCCTTGAGGGCTGACACCCGAAAGAAGGCTTTCCCACATTCCTGACACTCATAAGGCCTCTCTCCAGTGTGGCTTCTTATGTGTTTAGTACGAGCTGAAGAATCACTAAACGCTTTCGCACACTGGTCACAAACGTAAGGCTTCTCTCCGCTGTGTGTCCTCATGTGTTTTTTGAGGGCTGAAGAATCGCTAAAGGCTTTTCCACATTCTTGACACGCATAAGGTTTCTCTCCACTGTGAGTCCTCATGTGCCCAGAGAGACAATAGGGACTACTAAAGGCTTTCCCACATTCCCGACATTCATAAGGCCTCTCTCCGGTGTGACTTCTTCTATGAGTTGTTAGGTGTAACAAACGACTAAACACTTTCCCACATTCCTGACAGTCATAAGGCCGCTCTCCGGTGTGAGTTTTCCTATGCGCAGTCAGGTTGGAAGCGTGTCTAAACACTTTCTCACACTGTTTACATTTATAAGGCCTCTCTCCACTGTGAGTTCGGATGTGGCCGGAGAGGCAGCGGGAACTCCTGAAGGATTTCCCACATTCCTTACACGCGTAAGGCTTCTCTCCGCTGTGAATTCTTCTGTGCGTCGTGAGGTTTAACAAACGACTGAAGGCTTTCCCACACTCCTCACATTCAAAAGGCCTCTCCCCAGTGTGAGTTTTCCTGTGAGCATTTAGGTTTGAAGGGTGGCTGAAGCCTTTCCCACATTCCTTACACACGTAAGGCCTCTCTCCAGTGTGCGTCTTTGTATGTGTAGTGAGGTGGGACAAGCGACTGAAGCCTTTCCCACACTCCTTACACTCATAAGGCCTCTCTCCGGTGTGTATTCTTATATGCTTAGTACGAGCGGAGGAATCACTAAAGGCTTTCCCACACTGGTCACATACATAAGGCCTCTCTCCACTGTGAGTTCTTTTATGTTTAGTAAGGCCTGAGGAATCACTAAAGGCTTTCCCACATACCCCACACTTATAAGGCTTATCCCTCTTGCTAAACATTTTCCGCAAAATAAGGCATGAAGAGCTACCAGTTTCACAATAATCTTTATATTCACACTTCTGACCTCTGAGATCCGTCCAAAAGGAGGAGAAACTATAGGTATCTTTCGCACAATCAACACATTGAGGGCATTTCTCACCAGTGAACGTTGTCACAGAATTCCAAATACAGTTCTTACCACATACCTGACATGGAATGGATGTCTTTTTATTAAGAGTTTTACAGGGAACACTGCAGTTTTCTCCACATCCATCACACCAACGATGGCATCCAGCGCGAGCTATGGTTTGATGTTTATGTGTAGAGCAATCCAGAAAATCTGCTGATTCCTGGCTTTCAAAATTACTTTCTTCCAGAGGATTTCTTTGCGTAACAGTGAAGTCTGGAATTCGACCGAAAGTTTTCCCAAACTGGTTGCCTTCATTACTTTCACAAAGGTTCTCGACTGCGTGATTTCTGTTAAAAAATATGTAACGTGGCGTTGGAAAGAAATCTGCTCCCATTTCAACATCACGAAACACAGTTCTTACCCTGACCAGTCTCACGGTTCACAGTATCAGCCATCTACCGAAAATAAGACAGTGTCTTATATTAACTTTTGCTCCCAAAGATGCGCTAGGTCTTATTTTCAGGGGATATCTTATTTTTCCATGAAGAAGAATACGGTACACATCTATTGTTTTATTGAGAGACCTCACACTTCCTGTCTGCTCTGGCTGCGCTGCGGCCAACAGTGAGCTGTGCGGCCCCGACTGCTGTTACGGCCCAGAGTCCAGAGGTACGGTAGCTTTGGGGGGGAGGGGGTGTTTTCAGGGAGGTCTTATTTTTGGGGGATGCCGTATATTTCAGTGAGGCAAAACTGTAAGTAGGTCTTATTTTCAGGGGATGTCTAACTTTCGGGAAACAGGGTAGTTCTTAACCTGACCTGTCTCACCGTCCATAGTATCAGCCATCTAGCAAAAATACTAATATCACTGTTGCTGTTCTCTGAGGCTATCTGGTCACCATGTTCACGTGAAACATGTTTTCAACACTCAATTGTTTTACTCCTAGTTATGAAAATCATGTAAGGCAAAACTTCTCTTAATTCATAATGAAACATTTCCAAACCAAACTCACTGCCATTACTTTGGTTATGACTTATAGCCCCTGTGAGTTTCTGAGACTGTAAATCTTTATGGGAGTAGAAAGCCTCATCTTTTTCCCTTGGAGAGGCTAGTGATTTTGAACTGTTGCCCTTGGGGTTTGCAGCCCAACTCGTTACTACTATTCTAGTAGAGAGCCTAATTTTACACTTATGTTTATTCTTATAAAAATACAGAGCAGCTTCAACGAGATTATGGGAAAATAGAATGGAAAGACAATGGAAATTTTTGATGAACTTTTAGAAACCTCTAATAAATATACTGGTTGATATATTAGTATTCAGCAGGCCTTTCAGCCAGTTTGTAATACTTCAGCAATTGACATCGTAAATGAGGGTAGTAAAGGTAATGCTTCATAAGTAAGTCTGTGCCCTGACATACCCTTTTCCCCCGAAAGTAAGGCATCCCCCCAAAATAAGACCTACTTACAGTTTTGCCTCTCGGTGAAACAAAAGGCATCCCCCCGAAAATAAGGTCTCCCCTAAAATAAGACCCCCCGAAGCTACCATAACTCTGGACTCTGGACCGTAGCGGTGGGTGCCAGTGTGCAGCTCACTGTAGGCCACAGTGCAGCCGGAGCAGACAAGAAGTGCGAGGTCTCTTTTAATAAAACAATAAACAATAAATGTGTACCGTACTCTTCTTCATGGAAAAATAAGACATCCCCTGAAAATAAGACCTAGTGCATCTTTGGGAGCTAAAATTAATATAAGACACTTTCTTATTTTGGGGGAAACAGGGTGGTTATACCCATGTAGGAAACAGAGGTGAACTGCTTAGAGATGGCAGAAGATGGAATCATTTTGAATATGTTCTTTTCCACAATCCTAAGCAATCTCTTGAAACGTTCAGCATCCACGCAGGAAGTGGACTATTAGAAAAAAATACTGGAAAAGGCACATCCAACTGCTATCTTCAACTGGGGGCACAGCTTCAGCGTTTCTTACACAGGTGAGACTAACACTAGAATATTGATTTCTGTTTTAAATATATGCAGCACACTGTTAATAAACCCTATTTTAACATTACCAAGTTTTTACCCTGACCAGTCTCATGTTTCAGAGTATGCAAAATGTGCACCTTATTTAATTCAGCAATTCCTAGTTCAATAGCAACCATTTCAAAGTGCAAGTATGTACACATATGTATGTGCGTGTTATCGTCACAAAAACAGCATTTTTTAAAAGATCATTTTATTGAATAATAAATTTTTTAAAATGTTGCATTTAACTATATCTCAATAAACTTATGGTTAAAAATATAAAAAGAAAGAGACCATTTTATTGGGGGCTCTTACAACGCTTATAACAAATACATACATCAATTGTATCATGCATATTTGTACATATGTTGCCAAAATTCTTTTCTACTCATTTACTTTCTATTGGGCCCTGCTATCTGTTCCTCTTCCCCCACCCCAACCCTAACCTTAGCTCTTTCTACTAGTATGACACTCACCTGAAATCTATCCCCTCACTTTTACGTTGATCTTTAACAGCAAGTGATTCCCAGGTTGCTCCCAACACAGGGGACCAGGTGTTATTCTCCACGGACTGGACCGTTACACGTTCACTGGACGACTTGGCTCCTTCATTACGGTTTTGAGAGGCTTCACCCAGTGATTCAGGTTGAGGCATACACCGTGAAACAAAGAGAACCAGATGATCAGGGAAATGAAGGCTGATGTAAAAGGAGAAAGGCTTGGGCAAATTTCCAAGTGTCAGCACTTCAGGAAGGGCTAAAAAGCTAGTCGGAAACACTTTCTTAAGGATTGAGAGAGATAATAACACACACAGGTGTGGTTGGAGAAGCAATTTAAAAAACACTAGCTATAAAGTAAACAGAACATTGAAAAAAGGAAGGGAATTCCCATGACCACGGGTGTGAGAGGACTTGCCAAAATCAGGAAAATAAGGAGCTCAAGTGTCTGTGAGGTGGTATCCTCAACCCACAAGAGGCCTTTTCTAGCTAATTCCAAAGTCATTTCCTCCACGCAGTCTTCGAAGAATTCTTGCTTTCCCAGTGTTTCTTGACAGTGTCCCTGGGTGGGTTCTATATCTACTGTGCTCAGACTTTTCCCTTGTTCCTCTGGGAAAACACACGTGTGGAACTGACAGGTTGGTCATGATGAAATGGCAGTGGGGGAGACAGGGTAGAAAAGCGAACGTTATTTTGACCCTGAGCCAACACCTCCCTCTTCCAGGCCTCTGAAGACGGACAGGTGTGAGTTTACTTGCAGCAAGATAAGTACCTAAAATTTGCAGTCAAATACTACAGCTCTGTTCAAAGTCTCAAACCAACAAACCTCGCAGGGGCCCCAAGCCTATGCGTACCCTACCAAACATTAAACCGTTAGGAGAGCTTTATGCTCAGAAAAAAAAAATTAAGACGCCAGGACCCATGAGCTCTGAAGACTAAGGGATCACACCACGTTAACAATGTGTTCCCACTTCCTTAGCACAAATTCTACAGCAACGTCGATGAGGGAAATCCTTTCGCTTAGTAAACACATTTTTTAAATGGACAGGCATTCTTACCTACTGACGCCAGGTTTGCCAATGTCTCCGTCATCACATCTCTGTAGAGTTTCCTCTCAGCAGGATGCAGCAGAGCCCACTCCTCCTGGCTGAAGACGATGGATACATCCTCAACAACCACCGAGTCCTAAAACAGCCCACACAGCCTGGATCAGCAAGGGCACATGCACCTTAATGAGGCTGGAGGCCGGGCGACACTGAGAATTCACAGGGACGGACACAAGGTCCAGTGTTCAATCCTGATCTACTCTAAGGCATCGTCATCAACCACATCCATTCGTTAAAGAACACGGACTTTCTCATGTATTCTATTGTCTCTCCCAGACTTCCAACAATCATTAAACTATATGCTTTCCATGATTGGACTACAAACAACTCCAATCGCAGTGGGGGGACAGAGTTGGTTCGCGGACCCTGCAGACAACAGAATGAAACACTGTAGCGACATACCGTGTCGATAAAAAAAGGGCATTCCTTTTAAAATTTTTTACTCATTTCAATAGAAGAGCTTTCCTGCTAGCCCTCTACTTGACCAAGCACGATGTCTCCCCCAAAGACTGGCATCTCCTGACAACACGTCCAAAGCATGTGAAATGGAAGCTTGCCATCCTTGCCCCTCAGGGGCTGTGCTTTCCCCAAAGCAGATCGTCTGTTCTCTCAGCACCCGATGACGCTTTCCACAGGCCTCACTCACACCACCATTTGTTACAGGTCGGCCAACGAATTTTCAGAGTCAATGTTCTGTCACGCTCTTCTCTGTCTCGTTCATAGAGAAAAAGAATAATGAGCCTAATTGTGACCAGGAATATGCAAACCCTAATCACCCCCACAACCCGCATTGTTTTGAAACGTCAAGCAAACTGTATAACAATCAGCCCTCTCAGTCTTACACACACACACACACACACACACACACACACACCCTAATCACCCCCACAACCCTCATTGTTTCGAAACATCAAGCAAACTGTGCAACAATCAGCCCTCTGTCTTTCACACACACACTCTCTCTCTCTCTCTCTCTCGATAAGACTACAAAGAATAGAACCTTTTCGGAAACTTGAGGAGGAAGCCCCTACGTTTACTGACTGAAACAGGAATCACATCTTCCCTATGCTGAGCGTGTAACACAGTGGAAGTACCATCATATTACACACGTACGTTTCACTGCTTTGCAAATGTTTTGCTATACACACACGTTTGTCCACAAAACATTTAACTTGTTAGGTAGAAGTGGAAAGAGTTATCTGCTAATTGGCCCAGGAAGCCTAGGAAACAGATCTGCACACCAGCCCTGTAATGCAGTGGTTCTCAACCTTCTTAACCCGCGACCCTTTAACACAGTTCCTCATGTTTGGTGACCCCCCAACCATTAAAATTACTTTCATTGCTACTCCATCACTGTCATTTTCCTAGTGTGATGAATCACCATGTCAATATCTGATAGGCAGGATGTATTTTCATTGTTACAAAGGGAACATAAAGCATCGTGATTCATCGCAAAAACAATATGTCGTGATAGACTGTGAAATATTTTTTTCTAATGACAAATAAATGAAGTTTTGTCTTGAAGCACGGTGTCGCATGGGTACTCAGAGGTGGGCGGGCCCACCTGGAGACGGATAGAGGAGCGGTGTCTCGGTTCCCAAGACCATGGAAATAGGTATTTTCCGATGGTCCTAGGCGACCCCTGTGAAAGGGTCTTTCAGTCCCCAAAGGGGTCGCAACCCACAGGTTGAGAACCGCTGCCCTGGACTCCTCTCCCCACATTCTCTCGCGCCTGCAGTCCCTGGAGGTGCACACGGCTACCTGAGCCCGCGGAGAGCCCTGGCCCGGAAGAGTGGCCTGTGTACATGCCGTTGCTGGGAGGTGGTTCTGACCCACAGCCACTCTGCACACAACAGAATCGGACACCGCCGGGTCCTGTGCCATCCTTACCATCTCTCCGACGTCTGAGAGCACACTGGCAGCCACTGTGCCGCTCCATTTCATGCAACCCCTTCCTCTTTTCCCGCTGCCTACTTTACCAGCATGATCTCTTCCCCCGCGAACCGGTCTCTCCAAATAACATGCCCCAAGGACAGGGCAGAAAGCCTTGCCTGCCTTGCTTCTAAGGAGCATTCTGGGTGTACTTCTCCCAAGACAGATGTGTCTGTCCCTTTGACGGACCCTGGTGCTTCCAGTTTTCTTCGCCAATTTATCACAATTCAAATGCCTCGTTTATTCCCCGGCCTTCCTCATTCAATGCCCAACTTTCACCTTAGTCCTCGAAGTGACGCCCATACTTTTCAACGCTGTACAGAGATCTTGTGCACCAGACGCACCCAAGGCAACGTATTGCTTGATCTCTCGACTGCTGCTTCTGCGTGAGGGTTACATGTGGATCTAAGAAAGACCAGACCTTGACGAATTTGATCTTTATCTATCATGTGAGAAGGGGCGGTCTATTAGCTTCCTCTTGAGTCGGGAGACAACAGGCTGGTCAACTACAGTGTGGTGTGCCAAGACACACAGCTTTAAATTAGGAAACTGTCACCTCTCAGGGAAAGGGTGCAGCTAGCTGTCTGACTCATCTCTTATTGATCCTGGTGTCTCAGCAAACTCTGAGTTAAGAGCCAGAACACAGGTCTTTTTCACCATAGTGGCCCCGATTGCATATTTTAAAATCATCATCCATTCTCACATTCACTCCACAAGGCAGCACACAAAGAGAAGGGTTCCTGTCCCGAGCAGCTGTGATTTGTAAACGGCTGTGCAAAGGTTTCCACACACGACCTCGTGTGTATTTCAAGATTCCCAGAGTCCCTTGATTTTAACTAGTCCCCACAGGAGGCCATGGGCTGGACGACGTACATGCACAGGATAAACTGCCTATACAGTGACCCTCGTTTATCGCGGTTAATCGGTTCTAGACCCTACCGTGATAAATGAAATTCCGCGAAGTAGGATTCCTTATTTGTAAATCAAATATTTTCGTAG